GTATTATAATGGCATATATTTATATGCCTTTAAAATCAGGTTAAGTTAGGGAATCTTTTATGACATAAGGTAAACCTCTTTGGGTAAAGACGACAATGAATAAAGTGGTGAGATTTCCCCCAGTAATTGCTGGTTTCCTTCCTCAAAAGATTCCGTGTTTGAACAAAGAAAACTTATCTCAGGAATAACAGAGAGACACCAAGTTATTTTTAGCAAATTCTACAAACAGAAAAACAGACACTCCTATGTATGCTGGAGCTCCTGGGGCATTCCAGGCTGGCGCGCGCTCCCCTGCCCCCACCCCCGTGCCTGGAGGTTTCAGGTTTCAGAAAATACAATACCTTAAACACAAGTGAAACTGGGTCTATACTTGGAAGATTTCAAGCATAAAGGCTTAACACTCAATACCTTGAGAAACAGAAGCACATTGACTGGTCAATGCCTGTGTTAGAGCAATTCAGATGATGCAGTTAAAGGAATCCATCCAAAGTGAAACACTATCCCAAGTAGTATGTAATTGGGAAATGAAGGAGTGTGAACAGTAACTGAATCATTAGATAAACTCATTGCTAAGATACAAAGCCATCTGCTTTAGTATAGTGGCCAAGAAAAATGAGGCTTTCTACTCCAGTAAAGAGTTAACAGTACTGGAAACCCACAGGGCAGTTCTTCCCTGCTCTGTAGGGTTGCCGAGGTTCAAACCTGCCTCGAGGGCCTGACGCAATGTCACCTACCCTCCAGGGCCATGTACCCTCATCTGTAATTCAATGGCAGGAACATATCACACTGGCATCAATTCAAATAGAGGCTACCCTACTAACCACACTGTAGGACATCAGAAAAAATTCAAGCACCTGATGGCCTTAAAAATTCTTCGTGCTTATTGATCTAACCTCCAAGATTCTAGGGTCTCATGGTAAAAGTTATGAATCTATGATAAAATTGATGCCAAAGATTTAATTTTAATAAATCAAATGCCTTTCTAAAACATCCTCAAAATTAAGAAAACAGTTATTTCTAAATATCAAATGCATTTGAAATGTATTTGGGGAGCTCCCTAAATTATAGGACGGGCTTCAAAAAAATTAATGGGAAATACTATTTTTTAATTCCATTTCTCCATGACCTTTCTGAAGTTCCCTTGTGTAAGAACCCTTGTGTGATTCTTTTGACTAAAAATAACACCACTATTTATGATATGTGGCACATAATTTTGCAGACAGAATCAGGTCTGTAAGGGTAAAAAGGGCATCACTAATATTTCTATATGAATAAGGGAGACAAGAAAAGAATCAATGTCTGCGTTGGCAAAGAAAGTTGTATAACTTTATGAAAGTCGCATGAGCTGTCAGAAGAAGGAAGAAATCTGTCTTGCAAAAAGTACAGCCAGGTGCTCCTTAGAAGCAAGGATGGTGATGTCAAAGTCACACCGACGAGCAAACATCAACCTCTGGAGTTGAAAATGTAAGGACAAGAAATTATCATTGAAGTTAAATGATGACAGGAGAGTCCAAGGGAGACTTCTGGGATTAAAGGAATGCGTTATAAAGACGAATGTGTGGAGAGGGCATCTGGCGCACAACAGAACAACCACGGAAGGATGGACACATGAGGGAACAGTGTCATCATGTTCGAGGCCCTGGAACAAAACACTATTGGGAGGATGTCATCCCAGGAAACAGAATCATCATGTTCGAGGCCCTGGACCAAGTGTAAGTAAGGGCTGTGTTCAACAGAGACAGCAATTGCTTCCAGGGGCCACCTCTCCGGATGGCCTGCTTTACGACAATGTGAAAATGAAGGCTATGTCGGTTTTTCCTATTAATTTGGTTTTGTTAAATAAAATTTTGTGATAGTACAAAATGCTTCCCCTCAGATGCACTGGATATAGAATTCAAATATTCGCTTTTATTCTTTATAGAACATGAACTTGGGTACGTTTTGGGTTTGACTTACCTCCAAGGATTTTTATACATTGAAACGGAAGAATCTTACCAAAGACAAAGAATCAAGATGGCGAGAGTTGTCTCTTATTAGCAGGGGCGACCAGTCTCAGAAGAACATCATGCTTGATAAAAGGGTATCATAAAAAAACCCAGAAAACCATCATCACAGCCACAGAAATGGGCTCACACATCATGGTAAGGTTAGTGCAGGATGGAACAGTGCTTCCTTCTATGGAACATCCAGACTGACTGCCACTGAGACAATGCTGACTCATCGTGACCCCCTGTGGCTTTCTTAGCTTGTAGCTGCTTATGGGAGTAGAAAGCCCAGTTTTTCTCTCCTGGAGCTGCTGGTGGTTTCAAACTGCCGACTATGCCAATCCCAGCCTCACGAGTAACTACTATGCCACCAAGGTTTCTTCTTTGGTACAGAGTCACTCATTGGTGCAGACTACACAGCAACATTCATATGCATTTCCCTGTATTTTCTAAAGCAAGATACAAAGAGATGAATCACTGGTGGTTCCCGACCATGTGTAGGAGCCCCGGTGGTGCAGTGGCTACTAGTTGGGCTGCTCAGCAAGATCAGCGGTTGAACGACCAGCCTCTCCACAGCAGAGAATGGGGTTAGTCCCAGAAACGCACAGGGGAAGTCCCACCCTGTCCTACAGAGCGGCAAGGGGCCGGCAAGTCCTTGGCAAGAGTTTGTTTTTGTTTTGTTTTATATCAAGTATTCTGTTTAAATTCAAATTGCCATGTAACACTCACTTCCTGTCTCCTTCTGCCCCATACACAGACTGATTAGGCCATGTTTACTCTCTTATCTGAGCTGCCAGCATGAAAGGCGCCTCTGAATTCATAGGCAAATGTCTTCGCATCCAGCAGAGTTCAGGCTAGCCAGGAAAAGTGGCAGCCCCAGCTTCCCACCACCTCACTGCGCATGCCCAGGCCATAGTGTGCCGCCGTGAGGCAAGTCTGAGCGTGCTGGCAGAACCCTTCAGGGCAGTGGTTCTCCACCTTCCTAAGGCCGTGACCCTGTAATAAATACAATTCCTCATGTGGTGGTGACCTCCAACCATAAAATGATTTTCGTGCTACTTCATCACTGTAAGTTTGCTACTGTTATGAATCGTCATGGAAATATCTGATATGCAGGATGTATGCTCATGGTTACAAACTGAACATAATGAAAGCATAGTGATTAATCACAAACACGATATGTAATTAGATATTGTGAAATACTTATTTCTAATGACAAATCAATGAAATTTTGTCTTGAAGCATGGTGTAGCATGGGTACAGTCTTCGCTCCGGTTACTACGCTTGTGGGCGTATCTGCATGTGGGCAGACCCGCCAGGAGATGGAGAGAGGAGCGGTGTCTCGGTTCGTAAGACCATGGGAAATATGTGTTTTCGGATGGTCTTAGGAGACCCCTGTGAAAGGATTGTTTGACCCCCAAAGGGGTCGCGACCCAGAGGTTGAGAACCGCTGCTGTAGGGGTTTCCGCAGACAAACCCTTGTGAAATGCTGCAGGAGTGGCCAGTGTAGGTGTTCTAGAAATTTGTATGCAGCACTCAACATGGCTGCTATTGCAGTAGGAGGCACTGCTGGCTGCTCTCAGGACGTGGAAGAGGACTAGTTTCTGGGTCCCTGTCTCTACAGATATCTAGTATTTCCATCATTTTGTTGCTATGGTATCATTTTCGAGCAGGCATTTTCTAGCCCTGCATGCCCTCACCACATTCATTTTGAAATATGCAAATTTAAATGACATGGACTTACTCAAAACACATAAAAATGATTATCAATGTTTTTCATCCTAAGAAAAAAATCCCAAATCCTTAAAAAAAAAAAGAGAGAGAGACCTTTTAGTCTTTAAATGCAATTCTTGAATTGCTTGGAAAAGACGGTTTCAAATCTATCATGCTATATCAATAAAGTTAAGTATTTTCAGGAGCCCTGGGGGTGTAGTGGCTGTGAGTTGGGCGGCTAATTGCAAAGTGAGTTCAAAGCCATGAGGCTCTTGTGGGAGAAAGCTGGGCCTTCCCACTTTGGTGAGGATTAGCTACAGGCTAGGAAATTCCCAGGAACTGGTCACAGTTAACTCAGTGGCTGTGAGCTTGGTTCTTTGGGGTTTTCTGGTGCTGCCCTGGTTCAACGCTTGGCTGCTACCTGAAAAAGGGGTGTTAGAACCCACCAGCTGCTCAGTGACCGTTGGCATGGAAACTCTATAGGCAGTTCTACTCTGTCCTATGGCGTCACTGTGAGTCGGAATAACAGGTTTGATTTGCTTGGTATCATCGAGTTGAAGAGCACATCATTATAAACAATCAAATAACTGAAGGACATAATCTCATTAAAAGTTAAGTTCAGGAAAGCAGTTCAAATTTCTCATTACAGACACTGAAACAACGGAAGGTTGTTTTCATTTTAAGTCCCATCTAGTATTTCATTTTTTTCTTAAGATAATTGATTATGTAAATAGTATTTTCCTCTAGGTACAAAAACCCTCCAGTTTTCTTCAGAACGACTTCCTCTCTTAGGCCAAGCCCCAGAGCATGGATGGACTAAAAGGTGTTTACTTAGGGGCATGTGTCTTTGGTCGTAGACGCACCTGTAAGCACCTGCACACCTATATTTGTCTCCCGTGACCTCCAGCCTTCTCCTGTCTGTGCCCGGGCTTTCCTCTCATCCTGCACTGGGAATCACAGACTACGCAGGGTTTCCATCTCACTGTCAAAGAAAGGCAACTTGCCCTTCCTTTTAGACACATCAAGGTCAGCGTCCACCCAAGAAACTTAAGGCAGCAACGAGGCAGCTGCTAGAGGATTTCCCCAAGGGCTGGACCCCCTACCGGTCAACCATCTTATAAAAAGAAGAGAAAAGGTAAGTCAGTCCTGTCAGTCCTCACTACAAGGCACTGTGGAACTGATTCCACCCTGCCCCCGCCCCCATTTTGCATAGAAAGGAATGAGTGACCTCTGCCCTCCAATGGGTTCTGATGGCACACTGTGAGAGCTATGGCAGGTGTGAGAAAAGGACGCCAGTCTCCATTTGAAACAGTGACCCATTTATTTGAACTGAAAGGCATCGTTACACAGTGCAAACATTTCTTTGGTAATGTACTGAATACAATGAACATTAAAAAGGCATTTGGCTGCTGGCAATAGTTAGAAAAGTAAATAAATATGTACACTTTGCTTCATATTACAGCAATTTCCTTACAGTGGCTAAAAAAAGAGTAAAGTTCATTCAGGCACTGCCCACTGGTTTGATAAAGCATATAAAAAAGTTACACTGGTGATTCTGCAGACATTTCGATTGGAATTACAGAGTTTTGGGGGGGATCAGATAACTTCTTCCCGTTCCTCAGTTCCCTGGGAGCACAATCCTTTTGACATCGGCTCAAGCCCCAGTTCCTTCCAGGTGTTTTACCCACTGATGTCCTGCCTCAGCCATGAAACCACAAACTTCCTCCAAGTTCAGACACTCAAGCGTTCCCAGAAAACTTATATGTAATCTGTTGTCATTGTTATACCTGAGCAATTTACAGAACCATCCAATTCTAGAGGAAAAATTCTCCATTTCCTGGTATACAGAAGCTTGTTCCAAGATTTGGTTATTTAATTTGACTTGATATTTCCAAACAAACCCGATGCACCATGAAACACCAACCAGGTATTATTGTTTAATAAGTAAGTTGAAGATGTCATGCTAAGATAGACATTTTTGCACAGACTATTCTGCAAACACACCAGAAGCACTCTCACAGCTGGAATGTTCAACAGCTCCCTGGCACGTGGGGGAAAGTCACAGTGTGCAAAGGCATTTGGTTGTCTCTTGACAGAAGGGGGCCAACACTAGGCGATGTACTAAAAGCAACTGAAACCAGATGGCAGCACCTGTCCATTATGCACCAGATGTTGTTGAGGGAGTTCATCCACCCACAACTTCTGATAATTGTCCCCAAATGTTGGACTTCCTTCTAAAATTATTTATTTAAAATTTCACCAGAAAATAATCCCCAGGGATCCTCGCTTCCTTCTCTCTGTCCCTACACCTTCCACCCAAAACCACGTGGTCTTCAACGCTGCTTCTACACAAGCTGCCCAGCAATGGCCACTTCGTCCTGAACTTGCCTGTTGAGTCATGTGCCTCCCTCCTCAGTCTTCACTGGGAGTTCTACAAGGACAGCAATAGTTTCATTCATCTCCTGTACCCAGCAAAGGACCCGATGAATGGCAGACATGCAAAAAATTTAGTGAATTGAATGTGTGTGGTCTCTGCAACAGCTTACTCAGAACACGTTTCACTCTGTGATTCGAAGGTAAAAAAATGTTTTGGTCAATGACAAAGAGAGAGACCATGAGGTATGACGGTTGCTTTTCACGGAATTCCAAAAAACTTTTACATAATAGAAATTGTTTTTCTGCCATTTCTAACAGCTATAAAATGGGCAAAAATTCATAAAAGAATGCATTTAAAAGTACAAATGAGGTATTGGGATTGAATTTATTTTTTAAGCACTCACACAACCTGAAGTTCGAAGGTTCCCAATGATGGAATTCCTTCCACCAGAAGAATCGTCTAGAGTGATTGTTCTGCATGCTTTGAGGAGGAAAGAGCCTTGGGGGCGAGGAAGCACAGCTGTCTGGGCACCGCACACAGCCGCTCAGTCGGTATCATCAGCTACAAAATGGCAGTCCAGAGGATTTTCACATTCTGTTCACAACTAGGCAACATGCATGCGAGTTCTAAGAACAAACCTGCTTTCTAACTGTGGCTTAGTAATCATGATCAGGTGGGAAAGGAGTGGAAACAAAGAAAGTCACAGGATTGGCATTTGCTGCGGAGCACAGGGAATGTTGCACTATGATTAAAGACTGATGAGCTGTGAAATGCTAGATGTTGCTTTGAGGGGAGACAGGGGGGCCTGTATTTCACTATGGAGACTGTTTCACCATGAACACACTCATAAAAGATTCTGTTCCATTTGCCAAATACTGATTCGTGTGTTTTTTAATGTAGCTTGAAATGCAACCCAGATTTCAGCATGTTTCCTTCCCTGGTGGATCCATTATTCACACACATCTGCAAGGGAACCTGTCTGTAAGCTTCAAATCTCAGAACTTAACTTTTAGGGTCTCCTGCTTCAGTGAAAAAGAAATGGTGCTATGAGTTGAAATCCATTTAAGAGCCTAACTGATTTAACTATGCAATTTTAATAGTAGCACCAGTTTGTTTTTCATTGAAAACAAAACAAAATAAAAAAGCATTAAATAAAAACCTGAGAAATCTAACATGAAGTTAGGACGTTCATCCACTTCCCCGATGTTTGCGGTTATCGCCCTCCGTGTGCACCCTCTGTAGCAGGCGTCTTGTGCGATCTTCTGTAACAGCACCAGTTGAATGTTGTCATGAAATGTCTTGAGTTCTTGATGTGTCTTTTCAGTCTGCAGTTACCTGTCGTGGCCATCGGATCTCAAGGTGACTTTGCAGAGAAACTCCCAGGAACTTGGTAAAAGGACCTAAGGCTTCTTTCCCACAGATTGACTTAAGCAGACTGGACAACATGCCCCCGCGACTTTCACCGGAGCAGGACAATCTGCTGGCTGGCAGGACTCCACAAAACAGGTAATCTGCCCGTCCTGGAGAAGAAAGGCAATGTTCAGAAATCTGGAATTTCATGTGTGTATGTGATATTCCCCACCCAGCCCTCCTAGTTCCAATGATCACTAATATGGATGTTAGTTCTTCTGGAGGATTTTGTAGGGTTATTCTCGTTCCTGATTTCACAATGACAGACTAAGAACCACCAACAATGCAGAATAATAATAAGATTGACATACAAAGGAACTCCAGAAAGTTCATGGAAAAATGAAAGGAAAAGATCATGGGATTTTTCAACCAACTTTGTGAAGCCCCACTGTTCATAAAGCCTTAGAAATAAACAAAGGTTTAATGCGCGCGCACGCGCGCGCACACATGCACACACACACCCAGCTCCTCGTTCTACAAGGCTCTGAATTCCTCCTTCACTACAGCTTCTCCGGTCTCTCCAGCACTAAGGCGCTATCACAGGGTTACAGGCTCAGCAACACTCCTCACCTGCAACTGGACAAGACTGGCTGTGCTTCTGGGTGGGAAGAAGAAGCGGACAGAAAGAGGGGTGTGCACAGCCCTCCTGTTCAGCTGTCCTTCCCAAACAGACACAGCCACCAGTGACCTGGAAACCCACGCCAGGCTGTCCATGGGACAGGGGCACAAACCCATAGTTCCTATACTGGTACTGAAGCAGGGGAAATCTACCTAATAAGCATGGTAAGCACAGGCTTATGTGAGCTTATGTGAGCTTACTTATTAACCTGCAGTGAATCACTTCACATTTTTCTACTATATTAAGGTGACCAGATGTCCCGCTTTTGAACAATTTTTCCCGTGTCCCATAGCATTTTTAAAAAGTCCCAATTTTTGGAAAGAATGCACGACAAGCTAGGGTATACAGTTTTCGGCTGCCATGTGGCTATTTCACCAGGATATGAGTTTGATCAATGGTGTCCCGCTTCTGTCCTGCTTTACCAATGTTAAAATCTGGTCACCTTATACAATATCAAAGATTTTGCTCCTCAGTATGCTTGACATCTCTCTCACCCAAACTCACAGTGCCCAGCTACAGACTCAAAAACTCTTTTCTAATTCACAATCCTTGATAGGGGGAGGTATAAGTATGAGGTTACCGACGACTCTGTCCATCACATGACTTAGTGGTAATCTGCCCCTGCCTTGGAGGTCTGAGTTCAAAGGCTGGCCCTAACCTTCCTCACCGTCATCATCTCCCTAACACGTTCTACAAAACCCGGACTGCCAACAGAGCCATCTACACAGGGTGGTTTTCCTCACACCAGACGCTGGCCTGTGATTTGGCAGGGTTCCTAGACATCGCTGCCCTGCTGTTTCCATCTCGGTCTCCGTGCATGAACAGGCTCCTCTGGAGAGTTCTCTTTCCGCCCTCTCTCCTTTCCTAAAGGATATGGCTTGGCTATTATTCTCCTGAGGAATTCCACCCTGCAGTATTCCTCAGCCTGGAAGGGTCACCCACCCGCCAAGCGAGCTCCTGGGTCTCTTCATGGGCATGCTTCCAATTTGCTGATTTCTTGTATGGCCAAGGGTCCTGGGCTTGAAGGTCACAAGACCTGAGGTTAAGTGAGAAGTCTAGCCAGCCCTGCCATCTGCTAGGCTGCAGCTTGGTGTCCTAGCACAGCCGCAGGCTGGCTTTCAGCCGACTGGTCTGCTGCTCAACCACAGGGAGCCAGCCTCACTCACAAGACACTGTTGTCCCTCTGCAGTCAGTCACACTTCACAATGCACCTGCCAGCTCGGAGCATCCGATTTCCCGCTGTAAGGCAGAGCCATAGCCCTGACCTCAGGGGGCACAAAAATGCATCTGCTCGATGGGATCTTAAGTCCTTTCTAGGACAAGTTAGGGTGTAAAGTGATAAACTATAACAAAAAAAGAGTAAATTTATGAATTTACTGTTTTATCATTAAAAAAAAAAAAAAATCCCCTGCCATGAAGTCCAGTCTAACTCAGAGCAACCATGGATGTAAGGGCAGACTCGACTGCTCCCCTGGGCTTCTGAGGCTGTGGCCCTTACAGAAACACAACACCCCACTAGTCAGCTGTGCTGTGCCCAATACGTAGCCCACTGTGACAGCAGGGCTCAGACATCATTTTCTTCAGAAATTTACTTTCTCTGCAAGACCACAAGCTGCCTAGCAGGGACCGGATGCGCAGGTATGTATTCTCGAGGGAAGGGGGCTGTAAGCAGCCCTATTTCTTAACTTTTGTGATTTTCCACAGTTTAAACACTTCTGTAATATCCTACTTTAAGCTACTGCAGTGCAGAGCTGGGAAGGGAAGCACACAGCACTGGGATCCCGTGGGCTGGCTCCAGCACACCCTACCTCCGGGAGCATTTACCCCTGGCCCATGAAAGACAGGGTGGGAAACCAGAACTGGTGAGTGGGAGGAGACACGCTTTTGAATCGTGGGCCAACGCACCATAGAATCACTCCCCTTTGTTTGGGCTGGAAAATCCATCTCGTGGACTTTCAGTGTGTAACTCAGCATGAGAAAACAGAGCTCCGTACTCACTTTGCATTCGCAAACAGTGCAGGAATCCTTTTTCCATTTTGCATTGTCTGTATGAGTTTCACCCTTTGCATCAGTGCATTCAGTTTTGCTGAGTCGGGATTCAAGTTTCTTTATCTGCAACCAAGCAATGCAAAGCACAAGTCACTGATCACTTGAGATTAAAAATTGAGTTCTTAGAGCTCCTATTAAGGGTGATGTAGAAATCTGGAAAAGGATAATGGGACAAGCTAACCAAGGTCACAGAACTAATGCCACCAAAGGGGGCATGTAAATATTGCTGAGAAAGCAAGTGCTTTGTGGCATCTATATTTACCACAATGTAAGCTATTTTAGCTTTGATGCTCAGATTAAATGTTTCTGCTTGAAATAGTGCCATAAAATTACCTGCTTTGAGATGATTAATGCTAAAGAACTTTTATGGAATTCCAGATTTACATATGAAGCAGTTGATAGTTTTCTTGTTCACAAGATTATTTTCCCATGCCTACGTGGGGACCAGAAGCACACATACTTCAACACACGGTGGTGGCTGTGTGCCATCCAGTCGAGGGGCCCTCTCTGACAGAGTAGCAATCATTTTCTGCTCCGGGTTTTCCCATGGGTTTCTGGGGATGTAATGTTCATGGGAGCCTGCTGCCAGGTCTTTTTCCTGTAAAGTGCTTAAACCAGTATGCCGCCAGCACTCTTTAAAAAAATACTATTGAAGAAACAACAAAAACCACAGCCAACAGATTTCCTACAGGACTCTAAGAGCAAGAACCAACTAACCAAGTAAATGATGAAAGTCGTCCACAATTATATTTTCAAATGGACAACTGATAGTGCAGACTAACAATTCCCAAGACTAATGAAGTCCAAGTACCAAAAGCAAACAAGTCTGTATAAGGAGATTAAAAAAAAAAAAAATCAATGTAATCTCCGAGTTTTGGAATGATTATACGGTAACTGATGGCTGGTTGCCAAGGATTTAATTGCACAAGTAGGCACTGTACTCCTCTAGAGTGGATCCCGACTCATGCCGATCCTACGTGGGAATTCTGGGGCTAAATGTCTTTGTCCCGATCCTACGTGGGAATTCTGGGGCTAAATGTCTTTCTCCCACTCAGTGACTGTTGGTTTTGAACTAGGGACAATGCTTATCTGATGGTGTCACCAGGGCTCTTTCAAATAGGCATTAACTTTGGAAACGGTCTCAGCTACGGCAAATGAAAACCACCTTATCAACATGAACCACTCATTAACATAATGCATATCCAACCGGATATCGATACTTTCTAGTCACAATCATGAGAGGGAGACTCCCTGAAGGTTCAGAGGCAGTGGTGCAGGGTGGCCTTCGGGGGGTGGGGGTGGGAGTTTGCAATCCAGGCCGTCTTGGTCCTCTGGAAGCCACTCAGATTTGAAGCACTCATTTCAGAATCTGTCGGCTGACTAGTTTAAAACCTGACACCAGAGGGAAGGCGCAGCACAACGCTGGTCCAGTACTGAGCTCAGAGGTCATCAGGGTAATGGAACCACACCTCCGTGACCAAGGTATGTAAGTAGAAGTGAACTGATCAACAAATCTGCACACCTCAGTCCTGAGCCACAATGTGTTGAAAAATAAGAAAGACTGCACATGTATTCCTCAAAATGTAGCAAGATGACTAAGGATGGTCATGGCCACGATCATGGCAGATGTTTGTGGCAAAGAATGAGGCTCCTGGTACTGTGCCTGCAAGGCATGCAGCTGATGGAGAACTGCCGACGACAGACGACACAGAGCACCGAAGGAGCAGCCACACACTCTGGGTGGAACGCGAGCCGAGCCCGGACAGCATCACGTGTCGGGCAGATTTCTGCAGCCCTGCCTTTTCTGCAGCTGCCCCGCTCAGAGACCCCACCTGCACCCACCCTCTAAGACACGTCATGGGTCATCGAGTTCAGAAGGCCTGCTGGCTGTCCTGCACACGGTATATCCCCAGCTGCCTTACTAGCACATCACCTACCCTTATCACATTATGTGCCACGCATCCGCTTGGGTTTCTCTCCCATCGCTAGATTAGGGGAGAGGATCTTAGTTCCTGAAACTCTTTGCAGGGTGTACAATGCCAGGCCCACGACTGCTGAGTGACCAATGATCACTGCTGTCACGTATCTGCAGGGCTGCCTTATGAAGGTACTTCGTTGTAAAGACTCCAGAATGAAGCGCAGTGGCTACTGTGGCACAGTGGGTACAGCATTTGGTTCTTAAGAAACAGGTTGGTGGTTGAAGTACACTAATGGCTTGGTGGGCGGAGCTGGTGATCTGACACCAGGGCACTTCTGTTCTGCCCATCTGAAAGAGCTACCTTAGGAGGAACTGACTGAATGGCACACACGCTTGCAGAAGGCAAATGAAGGACCTTCATGTTGGAGGCAGAAGTGAGAGATTCTAGAATTCCTCGTTTTTCTGAGAAGGAAACTTTTGGGGTCAAGTTCAAGTTCCTCCAAACCTAATGAATGAGAATTCCCTAATTTAACAGAGCGGCAGATACAAAATTCAAAGTATGACCCGAGCACCACTTACATGGATACCTCAAGAAAACAACACCATGTGTAAGCCATATAAATACGAACATCAGGGACTTGCACACTTCTTTTTATTTAGCCTTTCAAGGTTCGTCCTCTCCAAGTGAATAACTCCAACTTCACTAATGAACCCAATTCGTGAAAGAGGCAAGGCGGAATTGAGTTCTTCAGGCAGCACATGTTGCTGTGTCAATGGGCCGAATCTGTCTCATACCAATGCTACATGACAATGACAACGTAGAAGCTGCGGTGGCATTCCCTCGGCTCTACTCTCTATTGCAGTGGATCGCCACATCTTTTCATCTGCTGAGCCACTGATGGATTCGCAGCATAACCTTCCAGTTAGAAGCTCAGTGCTTAACCATTGCCCCAAGACACTGATCAAGCAACTTCAAAACCAAAACCCACTGCCAACTGACAGCACCACTACGCAAGGTGTCCAGGGCTGTCCATCTGCACAGGAGCAGGTAGCCTCGTCTTCCTCCTTTGAAGCAGCCAGTGGGTAAGCACCTACCTGGTTCTTTTCAGGCAGTTTAAGAAATCGTATTATCCAACAATCCATTGCTATCAAGTTAATACAGGTCACATATTATTTTATTTGCCCCCCCCCCGCCCCCAAGAATCCCCCATAATCCCCCATAATTCTTGCCCCCAAGAATCCCACATAATCCCACCTTGTGAGGGATATAGTGTGTGTCCCACATAATATGTCTCAAAATCCATATTTCACAGCAAATTTTCAGAAACACTCCTCGATTCCACGTTCCTTCCATTAATGAAGGCACGCAGTATCAACAAAGAATTCAAGGTGGAACACAACTGGGTCGTGAAAGGGTTAAAAGCTATTCCTGAAGAAGTGGCTCAAGAATTCCTATTAAAGCACATTTTAATTCTCTTAAAATGTCCAAGTCCTGCGTCCATGTAGAGAATGTTGCAGACCTATAACCAGGGAAAGTGGGGAGCTGGGCATGTCAGGACGCGTCAGCCCCATTCACCCATCCTCCCGTCCCCCATGCAAATGACACTGTCCATTCATTGCCTGGAATTTCCAGCTTCTGTGCCTTATGCTTCCTGTTACCTGTTTTCTGAGGTCTGTGATGGTCTTTTGCATTTCCAGAACAAATTCTTTGAAGTCATTTGTCCCTGGTACATTCGATTGCTCATAGGAGGCTGAAGCAGTGTTATTGAAGTATTTATTACTACAAGGGGGTGTGGGGAGAGAAACAAAATAAAATTCCAGCAGGTTACAAGCGGTGACATTTTTATACAAGTTCAAATCCTGGCTTCTTCTATACTATACTCACTGCCACTGAGTTGACTCCGATGCACAGTGACCCCCAAAGGACAGGGTAGAACTGTCCCTGTGAGTTTCTGAGACGGTAACTCTTTACGTGAGTAGAAAGCCTCATCTTTGTCCCACTGAGCAGCCGGTGGTTTCAAAGCACTAACCTTGAGGTTAGCAGCCACGCTGGAAAAAACTACGCCACCAGGGCTCTTTCACTCAAAAGACAATTCACGGTTTCTTGGCTTGTGGTCCCCTATTGCCATGGGGACTGACACTTATCTCTGAGGTTGATGGAGTCAAGGGAGGACACAGCACCAGCCTGTGTCTACCACTAGTCATGAGGTGGCCCCGGAGACAAATCTGTCTGCCCCCAGAATCAGTTCATTCCCCGACATTACTCCTGTTGCCACTGGTGAGACTCTAAGAACAGTTTCCAGTGGGGTGGGAGATTTCTAGATACAACATTTTATCCATCTGTACCTCAATATTTTTCGTGGTCTTGTTTTCTTTGTAGGCTTGTCTTCCTGGTAGCTGAATTCAGGAGACCGTCTGCCTCGGAAATGGTATGAAAAGGCATTAAACTGTCCCCTATTTCTACAATCTAAAATGAAAGCATAAAGGAATTTATTAGCTGGTGGTGACTCTAATTTTAGGACACATTAAGTACATCTTTATTTTTGTTTATTTTTTTTACTTCAGACATGTTTTATTATAATCTTATACAGTCTACATAAATTTGAACTTTCATTTATTTGGGTTGAGTTATAGCATAATAAAAATCAAAGCACTGGTCCTCTGGAATAAAGCAGGTAATCACCATTCAATAAACACGCTTGATTTATTTTGTATAGAAGGGTTGAGTTTGCAACCAAACTTTTATAAAAAGTTTAGCATGAATAAGTACATCATTACACTTTTTTTCAGAAATATACATCTGCCACTACACAAGAAAACTCTAATTAAAGAGTTCACAAGGTTTCACTCTCTATATACGCAGCATTCCATAGGCTTGCATCAAAAAGACCAAAAAGACTTCATTTAAGTAACTGAATACTGGATCCTTCTGGTATTCACACTCCACCATTGAATAAAGGCAGTCTGCTTAAATTGGGCAACTCCATGTGATTTTAATGTTTTCGCTCCCCATGGTGGAAATAGTACATAAAGAAATCCTCCCAACTGCAGAAGGGGCATTTAAAAGTCTTTTTCATAAATAAATAGTATCAGTCCAGGTTACAGAACATCCTGGGGTCGATGATCACTTAAGTTTTACTTCCGTGTGTTTTTTTTAAAGGGTCCATTCAATTTGCTGTTGTCCTCCCTCTGGGACATGTTCGGAAAAAAATAAGTTCAGCATCTTAAAAGATCCTGTGGATTTGTTGTTGTGCAAAACAGGAAAATGCCGGGAACTCCAACGGGAATTCAGAAGCCTGCGGAGACAGCCTGCTGATACCCACGGTCAGGGCGGTCAGCGGCGTCCAGCCGGCTGGTGAGGCAGACAATGGTGGGGTGCGAATCCAGGCCAACTGCAGGCCCAAGACAGAGTTGGTGACGTGCCACAGGACTGCCATCATGCTCCCCCTCTTGTTCTGGGGGTGCTGGGCACCCGCGCTCCTTGAGCTTGGAGTAACGATCGTTCATGTGGTACAGCAGGCTCGTCGGGTTTTGCTCCACGACATGCCCAGCTTATGGTTCGAAAGGCTGTTTTCTCACGCACCGCAAAGGGCTGAACGCTTGCACATGGGATGCGGGCGCAAGGAAAGGCCGAGCAGAGAAGGAAGCGAGCTACAGGGGCTCGGGTGCCTCCACCGCCTACTGTGCTGGCCCTACTAGACTCAGAATCCTTTAGAAGTATTAATATCTCTGGCATACTTTATGAAATAAATTGCAATATATATATATATAAAGAGCTCGGCGCAGAATCCTTTAGAAGTATTAATATCTCTGGCATACTTTATGAAATAAATTGCAATATATATATATATAAAGAGCTCGGCGCAGAATCCTTTATAAGTATTAATATCTCTGGCATGCTTTATGAAATGAATTGCCACACACACACACACACACACACACACACAATGGCCAAATATAAGCATTCACAAAATTCAAACGCATCCATCAGGAACTGGCGTTGGAATTCTACAAGAAGGCAAAGCTGACGGGGAGAAGACACTGAAGTCAGCATGGCTGCCCTCCTTCTGCAGATGTAGCGTTCATTGTCTTGATTACAGCTGGAACACAAAGGGAGCCAGCAACCTTGCTCTTCAGGATCAAGACTTACAGCTCCAGTTCTACCCACATACTAACATGGGTAAACAGTTGCACCAATGTAGTTGCCTTTGGCAGCACTTTAGTTTCTGATATAAATCTTCAATGCTGGATCCAGCTCACTGTGCTATACTCATTAATCACCTGGCGTAGAAAAGACTACTGTTCGTTAAATAGATCCTAGGGACATACAAAACCCCCACTCGTCCAGAGCTGTTCTCCCTCATAGCAGCCACACCTGCCCCCAGACTTGGGGGGGGGGAGAAGCCCTAGTCAGTTCTGACTCACGGCGACGGCACACACAACAGAACAGACGCTGCCCAGACCGGCGCCTTCTCACTCCTGTTCTTGTGTTTGAGCCCATTGTGGCAGCCACTTTGCCAATCCACCCTGGCGAGGGTCTTCCTCTGTTACCAGGCATGGTGTTCTTTCCCAGGGACTAGCTTCTCCTGATCACATGTCCAAAGGGTGAGATGAAGGTTCACAACCTTGGCCCTCAGGGGTTCTTGGCTGTACTTCTTCCGAGACAGACATGTTTGTTCGGGTGACAGTCCAGGGCACTGCTGACATTCTCCACCAGGCCCGCAACCCAAAGGCAGCGACTCATCTCCAGTCTTTATTCTTCATGGTCCAGCTCTCACATGCACGTGAGATGAAGGACACCATGGCTTGGGTCAGGTGCGCCTGAGTCCTCACAGTGACATCCTTGCTCTTGCACACTTTAAAGAAGTCTTGTGAGGCAGATTTGCCCAAGATGATGTGTCATTTGCCCTCTTGTAGATGACAGCCCGGCGCATCACCACCACGCCACCAGGGCTCCTTTATCTGCTCCAGAACCAGTGACTGTGGGTCCAAGCAAGACCAACCCCTGGTCAACTTTCAATCTTTTCTCCATTGACATCCACGAACATATCCTGATGTGCCCCTTGGTCAAGTCCTGAGGCTTCTCACTGAGTTCTCGTCCATCTTGAAGGCCGTAGTCCCTGAGGAAGCCCTGCAGACCGCAAGCGCTTCAAGTCCCGCTCACTTTGAGTAAAGCAAAGTTGTATCACCTGCATATTGAAGATGCTTAATAAGCCTTCCTCTAATACTGGTGAGTCATTCTGCTCCATATAGTCCAGCTTCTCTGATTATTTGCTGCGCATGCAGATTGAATAAATGTGGTGAAAGGATACAACCAATTTGCGTACCATTCCTCAGAGCTTTCCTACCATCCCCCCCTTTGAAGTCAGACAAGAGCCTAAACATTTTTTAATAGGAGAATAATAATTATTCTCAGCTTAAAAATCCCATCCCAGACTGGGTTCAGCAGGTGCTGGGGGGAAGCCCTGTCGAACCATAAATATACTGCAGTGGCACCAATATGCGAGGACAAGGCAAGCGAAGGTAGGTACAGATCCAACCACCAGCTACAAAGGTGAGGAGCTGCTGCCATGTAGACACTGGCTTCTGACTTGAGCGCTTCTACTGAAATGCCACCACATGGGAACTTTGTGCCTCTGGCTTTGTCATCAATGTCCCTCCCATCACCTTGTGGCAGTGAGATTTTATGTCGACTGTACATGAATGTAAGTGTAGGGGTGGAGTGCGACCTTTGGATGAGACAGTAGAACTCCATTGCTCTTGCCCTGCACCTTCCTGCCTGCTTGGATTCTGTGTCTGCCCCCAGACCAGGTCCCACGTGGCCACAGGCCCAGGAAGCCATTAGTGCCCTGCTGTGTTCCCACTAACCTTGGGTCCATGAAACTCCATACCCACATGCTGTGACTTCGCTGCGCCCTCCTGCGTGATCAGTTTGCAGTTACGTGAGTCTGACGAGGGGGCTCCAGCTAGCATGAGGCTGATGGACTTGAGTTGGTCTGGGTTGGCATGTCTTCTGCATAGAGTTCTTTCTTCTGGATAGAGTTCTTTCTTTCTTTCTCTCTTTCTTTCTTTCTAATTAAAAGATCATTTTATTCGGGGCTCTTACCACTCTTATATAAAACAATCCATACATCAATTGTAGCAAGCATATTTGGACATATGTTGCCATCATTCTTTTCTGGACATTTACTTTCTATTGAGCCCTTGGTATCAGCTCCACCCCCACCTTCATGACCACTTGATAAATTATTTTCATATTTTACATCAACTGCTGCCTTCCGTTCTCCTTGCTTTCAGTTGCTTCCCTTCTCCCCTCTTTTCTCCACCTACTCCCTACCCTTCCGGTATCGCTACTCCCGTTCCTATTCCTGGATTCCGTGTGTCATGAACTCTTAACGGTACCTGTGCACATGCTCCAGTCTAGCCCACAGTGAGGTAGTACTAGAGTCATGATAGTGGGGGGTAAGGAAGCCTCAAGGAACCAGAGGAATATTGTGTGCTTCATTGATGCCTACTGCACTCTGGTTGATTCATCCTTTCCCTGTGACCCCTCTGTGAGGGGGTGTCCCATTGTCTACAGATGGATTTTGGGTCTCTACTCCAACCCTCTCCTTCTCAAAAATGTGGTCTTGTTTTTGTTTTTTTTATGGGTCTTCTGATGCTTGCTACCCAGTTCCAATGAAAGCTCATGATCACACAGGCTGGGGTGCTTCCTCCATGCTGGCTTGATGCTTCTCTGCGAGCCAGGGAACTGCCTACTTTCTTCACATGTGCTTATGCACCCATTTTGTCTTCAGTGATTGTGCCAGGAGGGTGAGCATCACAGAAAGACAGTTTGTTAGAACAAATGGGAGCTGATGGAATGAGGGGAGCAGGGTCACACTCATCCAGAGGGGAAGTGTGGGTTGTGTCTCTACAGAATTGGGAGTGTGCATGCAGACCCCACCATGGCGCACCAAACCTGAGGGCAACATAACCTCGTGAAGACATGCATGAAAAGATTGGGTTACAGGGCTGGCCCCAATCAGAGCCAAACTGACCTCCTTCCTAGAAGTATGTGCGACAGAGACCAACACTAAACCTACAGGTTGGGGAGAGGGGCCAGCCTGCCACGCCCACACGGAAGCAAACCAAGAAGGAAAAAGAGAAAGGGATGGTTAGACCCCATATCGGCACACCACGCCCAGAGGACGACATCCCTGCATGGAGCTGCTAAGGCACAGAAAGGACTGCAGGGAAGACAACAGCTCAAGCCATGTTGTCCCCTTACTGGAGCATACCCCGTAGAGGATAATACCAGGGACACACAGTAAGGATTTATTCCGGTCTGAACCCCCTGCATTAGGGTGAACCAAGGGAACATAACAGATCAGCAATGGGAGCAGAGCAAAGCACAAAGCCCCTAAGAGCCCCCAAAATAGATTTCAGCTAAGAGGGATAGCTCCCAGAATTCCCCCAGGACCAGTGGGGAGATAGTCATCAAGGTCGGTGGACAAACCTGCAATTATGTATGCTTTGTTTGGTTCCCCCCCCTGCCCCCAGTCTTTTGTTTCCTTTTTGTTTGGTGTATGTTATTGTTGGTTTGCCTATTTATATAGGGACTAGGGGGGAAGAGAAGGTGTGGAAAGGGAGCGGGGAGCAAAACAACACCATACACAGGGGAACAACTAGGGAATGAAAATCAACAAGAAGGAGGACATAGAGACCCTGGGGTGTTGGATCAACAGCAATCTAGCTGAGAGGCTGAAGAAGGGTGAGCATGACGGTGAGGCAGGGGGAAGGAAAAAGGAAAACCAGAGGATCAATCTAGGAAGCAGAGCTCTGGAGAGAGAGATACGCATATGTGTGTACGTATGTAAACACATTAATTCCTAAAAATAGAGATATTGGCCTCTGTACATATATTTATATGGCAATACACTGAGGTAGTGAACGTACTTCGGGCCTCTGACCATACCCTCCCTCCCTCAATGCAAGCAAGTTCACGAGTTCTTAGAACTTGCAACTCTCCTTTAAGTTTGAAATTACTCAGAAAAAAAAGGTGGTATATTCTGCTTTATTAAAAACAAAAACTAAAATGATTAAGGACTACAACTCAAGTTATTTTCAATGTTGGTTCTTTGTTTGTTTTTTAAGTTGAATGAAAATCAGATAGAAATCAACCTTTGGTCCTACCAAACACTAATTTGTTTCTCTAATACTTTCGCCTATATTTACATATGGCTTTGGGACTAAAATAAGACAGATATTGCTTACAAAGCATTTTAGCTTCATCAGCTTAGGGATATGCCTGTTCTTTTAACATTTCAAAAGTGTCTGATAGAAATTCTATGAAAAATTGTCTCAAGCAGCTAAATTTCTCAAATACTCCAACAGAGAGTAAACAATAAGATTCACAAAACGATAGTGGTATACAAAGCACAGTTTTAAAAGACTGTCTTTTAAAGCAAAAGAATATCAAATCTAATAGCGGAATGTAACGTGGTAAAGCTGCTTCATAATTAGCTAAAAGAAGCCTGGTCGGGCTACCAGAAAATGAAATTTTGCATCAGAGAATAAAAAGAACTGTTTGTATGTGCATTTTTTTGTTTTCCTATGTCTTACAATTAAAATAGTTCTAAAAAAAGAGAAAAGAATTATACAAATAACAAGAAATAAATTCTCTGACATGTTTGTGGAAAAGCATTTTGAACTGACTAAATCAGTGGGAATATTAATATTTTTACCCACAGATTTCCAATGGAAGTAATAACCAGAAAATTAGAAAAGTAGACACAATTTTAATTTTTACTTTAATACTTCTACCATATCACACATCACTTAAACGTGAACACACATGCACGCACACACACAGTGCTGCTAAAACATAGTTCTAATATATAAACTCAGATTTAAAATATTTACAAATTGAAAGATAAGCCTGACAGGAACCATTTCTTTGAGATATAAGAGATGGGGGGACAAGTAATTCTATACTTGGTGTGTTCTTCTTAAACTACTAACCATTCAACTCTAACCCCACGTGCAAAGAGTCCTACTGGATTAAGACTAGAGACCTGGTTCCAGGTCCCTCTCTCCCAGTAGCCAGCAGTGTAGTTGGGTGAGTGACCTCATTTTCCTCACCCACAAAATAGCAGGCTTATACAGATAGGTTATAAATGTCTCTTCCAGATTTCCTACTCTAGGAAGCTTTGATCATATTTTGAATAAAGCCAAAATCACATTCAAATTTTTAAAAAATGGAAATCAAGGTTAACCATGCAATTCGGAAGTTAGGAGTTTAAGTAGGAACTGAGAACATGACTCCAGTAGTCACGCATAACAGGTTGCTATTAAAACAACCAAAGCAGTTGCCCCAACTCATGGTCACCCATGCTTAGTGCATCAGAACGAGGCTCCCTAGAGATGTCAGTGACTATTTCTCAGAATTAGATTACCAAGCTTTTCTCCCGAAGAACTCCTCCAACCTGTTGAAAACAGCTTCGGGCATTCACAGTTTGAACCGGCTAAGGGTTCTGCTACTCAAACCAGGTCCCTTTTAAACTTGCAAACAGAGCGCTAGCTCCATGAGCAACCCGGACTGCAGCAGGGCCATGGCTTCATTGGACTGATGCGGCCCTCTGTCCACTAAAGCTTCCCAACCCAAACCAACGAGACTGCCTGCATCTGCTTCACTTCTCTCTGTTTGTAAAGAAATGCACACTGAAAGTTAGAAAGTCTAGCATCACTTTTTAAAAGAGCATTTTATAAATCAGACGTGATGCCGGTGAGAGCAGAATGCAGCTAGACTGCCTTGTTTTTCCTGATCCGAAAGTTCACTGCCTCACACAGGAGGAAGCTTACCACTTTTCTGTTGCTATTTTTAGTGGAAAATATCCGTTTCTCTTTCACTGGCAGATTTACGTTTGAAAAACTTTGGTTCATACCTCTTTTACTTAATATTGGTTATTATGAACATTTTTCAAGTCCATTAAAAATTCTCAAAATGATGCTTTTTATGTTTTTGCCTTCATAGAATTCTTCAGTAAGGACATACCATAACTTAGTGATCCCCTACAGCTGAATCTTTTACTTCTAATGTTTTCATTGTCTTATTTTGAAGTGCTTTAGCACTCATTAAGAATTCATGGACAGCGATAGGTGTACAACACAATGAACATAATTAATGTCATGGGATTGTTCATGCAAAAACATGCAACTAAATAAATAAATACAAGCATTTTAAACATTCACCAAATCTGGCCAAATAAACGGGCATCACGCAAACAACCACAAAGTCCAACGTGAGACGAAGCCAGGCAGCTTTGAAAATACAAACCTTCGCAGCAATCCTGCCACATCCTTAAATCAACTCTAGGAATCTCATCGCAACCACTGTATCCGTGTGGGAACTCCACGACTCTGAACACGTCCTTCTGCACGCGCGTGATGTTGTCGGAATTGTCGCACAGGATCCTGGCCAGCGACGCTTGCTTGATCTGGGTTAACTGAGCAGGGGAAAGCACCCCAGGGTTCTCATACCACAACCTGTGTTTCCACAGAAGCAAAAAAAGAACCAGATTGCAAGTACAGAAATGCACAAGACGGTAGGGAGCTGAATTTAAATATTCCTCTACTTAGTTTCACCAAAAAGGCAGAAATCACTCAGATTTAAAATGGGAGAAAACAAAAACAAAGAAACAAATGTCTGAACTGAAACTCAGCAGCGGGTTAAATATTCGAACTAATTAACAACTGAAGTAAATAGGCTGCTTAAACTTTAGCATGTTGGTGTACAATGAACTCCTCCGAACGCCCACAGGGTTTCATTGTCTGAATTGTCCACTGGGTTTTCAGGAACAAAAATATCATATTACGTGAAAGTTCTACTGTTGTGGTGACAAACAAGCCCCACAATTAGAGTGGTTCAGGCCACATACCAAAAGCATAAAGCACTTTCCTTCTAAGCCCTCCCCCGAGTCCCCCAAAGAAAAGTTCCGGAATAGATTGTTGTTCTCCTCCAGGGCATTTCTGCTCACCTGTCCCCATCCCGCAAGCGTTTAAACTGGGTGCTGAGCAAGCACATTAGTGTTGGCCCCAGTCGGCTTCCAGGAACCAAATCTTCCACCATGAGGGCAGGAAATAAATCTATGTTTAATGGTGAGCCATATAACCTACAAAAAACACACAAAACACCTTAAAACTGACTTGATGGATCAAAAACTAACAAATATGAAATGTCATTTTTTCTATCATATATTTATATTGTTTAAATACTTACCTCCCAAAGAAAATCCATTTTTATTTCTTTAAATTCCCTATCCACTGCCCTTTAAATAATTTTTCTTACTTTATATTTTGCTTATTTATGTATGTAGATGTGCTTATAATATAATACATATTTATTATTTTAGGTTTAGAAATGTCAGGAAACATATAAGGAAGAAAATTAAAGCAACATCTTTTCTTATTCAGAATAAACACACTTAATATCAACATGTGAAGCCTTCTACTCTTTATTTTTTCCCATTATTACATGAACATAAATGAGTCCTCTTAGTACAGTCAAGTAAACACAACGCTTTTAACTGAAAGGCAGTAGTCAAACCCCCCAGCTACTCCGCCGGTGGGAAACGTGGCCGTCTGCGTCCAGAAAGGTTCTACCCATGAAAACTGGGGATCAGCTCCACTCTGTGCCCCAGGGCAAACAGGAGTCAAAACAGATTTAATAGCAGTAGGTTTGTTTGTTTTTATTTCTGGTTTTATTTATTAAGCACATAAAGCTATGGACATTTTTTTTAAATAACAAATTTGGGATTCTACTACATACTGAAATTATGCTGGCTATAAATAAAATATTTACCAAGTACAGATCACTAAAAGAGCTATGATAATAAAACAGAAACACTTAAGGTTGCATCAAATTATTCCAATTAAACATGCCTCAAATTATTCCAATTCTCTAGAAAAAATACTTTATATAAAAACTGGCATCTTAGTAGTACAAAAGTGCAAGGCACTCCATTAAGTAATGGGTAGCTTAGCTTAATTGCTACTGAAAGCACCACTAAGTTTTTATAAAATACATTCTATAATTCACTACCCTTTTACATAATGCTCAAATTGGTGATAACAAGACAAAATTTCTTATAAAACTGATGTGTCCTCCAACAGAAAAGTGGGTGAAGGGAGACATCAGACAGGGCAAGATATGACAAAATAATAATTTATAAATTATCAAGGGTTCATGA